CCTGACGTAATTTTTTTACTCGCTCTTTATAGCTTTGCATGAATTTGCCATCCTTTGGTTTTCTATAATATATTCCTCTTTGACTACATTTATTAATGCCTGCTCGACTTCCTGGGATGTGGGCTTTGCTTCAGATAATTGAATTTGTGTATTCATTGTGTATAAAGTATATCTGCTGTTCACTTTTCTATATTGCAAATAAAATTGTTTAATTAAATTTTTTCATCCCTATTGTAAATAATGGTATCTTATACTTGCGACTATCTTCATAACTCTGGCATGACTTGTGGTAAAGCTTGCACTCGTCCTGAGGGATACCGACTGCATTTTAAAACTAGAAAATGCTGGCCATGCTCTGAATGTGATAAGGCTACTGCTACAGTTTGTGGACGGTGTGCTGAACATATTAGAGGATATTATGTGATGCAATATTATAATAAATTGCGGGATAAGACTCAGAGATTAGACTTGATAAAAGATGCGACGTAGAATATGGTATGTACTGAGCGTCTTGTCGCTACCTGGGCCTTCTCATAAATTCAAAGCCAGAAAAAGGAGGAGCTAGTGCTGAGGATGTTCTGGGAATATTCCTGGAACTTAATATGTATGCATTTATATTACTTGATTTTTTTTATGCTTTGCATACATGCTTCGCACCCTTGGTGCTCCTCAACTTCTGTATACATATCTTGTGTACATATGCTTCGCATCTTCAATGCTTCTCAACCCATGAACATATCTTGTGTACATATACTCTGCATCTTCAATGCTCCACAACCCGTCGCATCTTCGATGCTCCTCAACCTGTGAACATATCTTGTGTACATATCTTATATACATATGCTCGGCTTTGCTCTGCAGACTTGGCATTCATATTTGCTTTATGATTTGCATACCATTTGCCCACTTATTACCACCTATATTTGCCTCATATATAGCATACATTAAAATATGGTAGCATATGATTGAAACGATATAGCATCCATATTCGCTTCACCCTAAAGGGCTCGCTCATATTCCTGCTATATCGTTTCTCCTGTCGAATGCATATTCGCTGGCATTACCCTAAAGGGCTTTGCCAGCTAATACTTATTCTCCTATATCAAATGTGCATTTGTCGTCGCTCCGCTCCTCCTCATGCTTGTTCTCTCTCGCTACTTAAGCAGTATGCTATTGGGAGGTGATTTGCTTACCATTTGTCTACTTATTACCACCCATATTTGCCTCATATATAGCATACATTAAAATATGGTAGCATATGATCAAAACGATATAGCATCCATAATTGCCTCGCCCTAAAGGGTTCGTTCATATTCCTGCTATATCGTTTCTCTTATCGAACGTGCATTTGTCATCGCTACGTTCCTCCTTATGCTTGTTTTCTTTTGCTACCTAAGCAGTATGCTATTGGGAAATGATTTGATTATAATGTATGCGAAAAATTTATGGGTGAGACTTGATAAAAGGTATGATTTAGAGGTGAGACTTGGAATATGATATGCATTTTAGGCTTCTTTCATCTTTTTATTCTAATTTTTTCCACACTTAGAAGTGAGACTTGATAAAGGGTGTGACATAGAGGTGTGATTTAGAGGTGAGACTTTGAATATAGTATGCATTTTAGGCTTGCATGATCGGGACCAGCTCAAATTGCGTCACTTTATTCCTTGATTTTCACTTGACCCTCTAGAGGCAAGCAGAATAGCATAAAAGTTATTATTCATATTGGGTTTGCAATATCGGGCCTAGCTCAAATTGCGTCACTTTGTTCCTTGATTTTCGCTGAGCCCTCCTGAGGCAAACAGAATAGTAAAAATTTTTTGATATATTATTTGGGATTAAAATCAGGCTAGAATGGTCATATCAAACAGTATAATTCTTAGTATCAGACAGGATAATTCCTAGCCAAGTTCGATAACATCATCTAGAATTGAGTTAAAAGGCGCTAGAAGGTTGAATAAATAGAAATGAAATATATAGCAAACTGGACTTGTAAGCAGATTTGAGTACTAAGAGGGCATTCATCGAAATCTGTCCCAGATCTCTCAAAATGCCCTATATTGTATTCTGAGAACAAATTTTTCATCACAAAAATTTTTGTTTCGCTTTTCTTAAATGGCACTGATTACATAAGGGTGAAAATTTACTTATATACTTTACGACTATACTGTATTAAGAATCTGATCATGTGGAACTTGATCATGGTAACTTATTTGTAAAGATTATTTGTATATTACTGAATGATACATTTTCAAAAATCTCTTATAGTAAAAATAAGATTTCTTAAACTCAAAAATATTTATCCAAATTATTTGTTAATTTTTTATATTATACAATATTGATTGATTTATATTAGGATAAATTTGGATCAAATTTAAAGAATTTATAAAATTGAGAATAAGAGATTTTGTAATCCTTTTTTTTTTATTTTTTTAAATAAAATTTTTATTAGATTAAAATCTAATTATAAGATTAAATATAATTTAAAGTTGTGCTATATTAAATAAAATTTTTTTTTAATTAAATTATCGATCTTCTTATGTTTTATTACTTTCTTAAATATATCAGAATTACTATAAAAAAAACTTTAAAATTGAATTAAAAAATTTAAAATGCTTATATATTATCAGAAACAGATTTTACTTCATTTGAAAATGATTTTGCTTGTACTTTGATAAGTACCATATTCCTCTGAAAATAAGCACTATTTTTGTTATAGGGATGCTTAATTTCAGATATTATTCTTAGTATCAAAAACTTTAATCAATGATATCTCATGATCTGGTGGTCACAGAATGATGTAATTTAGCTTATTGGATTTGTCTTAATAAGTAGAATCAAATGGTATAAATATCATAAATTTTTGAATAGGTATTGATTGAGACAGGGTTGGCAAAAGACCTTGAAATGACCTTGAAATGACCTAAAATGACCTAAAATGACCTTATTGTTATTATAAATTTCAAGTCAAATGACCTTATAATTTGCCATCACTGGATCGAGATACTTTCAAAAGGTGCTTATTTTCGGTGTATATAAATAAATGTGAGGTGCTTATTTTCAGAGGAATATGGTAATCTTATTCTGAGCCAGGGTTGTAAAAATATAATTTGTTTAGGAATGTGAGTTAATGACAGAACTGTTTATTTTTCCTTATATTTGATAGATTTACAAGTAGATTTGTGAAAATCGAACTACAGTTGGAACGGCCAAAACGGTCAAAAAATTATCTTGAATGAACTTAATACTGGAAGAGTTTTTCTCCTTTTATTTATTTTGCTTGGATATAGCCTTATTCAATGTCTTTTTACTCGCAGAAAGATCTGTACGCACAACCAACTTTTAATTTTATTTTTTTACAATTAATAGGTTAAATTTATATATTTTATGTGACCATTCCCAAAAAGTAATTTACACGTATCATATTTAGTTAAAATAATATCCGAGGGAAAGTTACACCAGCTAGATGAAACGCCTTTATTTATTCTTTTTATTTACTTTTTTGTATCTTTTAATAGTAACTAATTTTGTATAAAGTACAAGGTCATGTGATTAGCTTAATCTAATCGTGGTATATAAACACAGCCTTTATAGCATAAATAAAACTTTAAAATTCCTTTTAATTGGTGCCATTGTCACTTTCCCAAGTATTTGTTGTGTATGTAATTAAATTATAAGCTTCGAGCAACGAATTCGCCTACTGTAGAATTCTGTTGTCTTACCATATTTTTTTAAAAACCAGGCAAACTTTCTCTTTTTTTGCCAAATTTTGTATTTTTATTTTTCAAGGAAAAAATGGGCATAGCTGACTTAATTGACCAAGCACTTAATAGAAGTCCGCAGCCAGAGTCACATGAGAAAAAAGTTGGAAATGAAAAATTATTTGGTGCTCTTGAATTCTTCTAATTTCTTTAATTAACCTGATATTTCTTTTCTTTTTAGAAATATTATAGGATCGGAAAGACTCTAGGTAAATATATATGCGCATTTGTCATTAATTCTTGTTTTATTCTCACTGATATCTATCTATCTATGTAATATAATTCAATCATAAAAATTATACGTAATACTTATTACAACGTTGAATAGGTTCTGGTACATACGGATCAGTTAAAGAAGCAACCAAGATTACAACAGGACATAAAGTAGCCATTAAAGTGATAGATAAAAAAAAGGTTAGGCATCAAGAATCAATGGTAAAACAAGAAATGGAAATATTATCACAATTAGATCATCGTAATATAGTAAAATTTTTTGATTGGTTTGAATCGAGAGATAAATATTATTTGGTTTTTGAGCTGTATCCTACAATTTAATTTATCTTGATTCTTTTTGAAAAGTTTTTTTTTGTCCTTAATGAAATTTAATTTGAAAGCGCGACAGGGGGAGAATTGTTTGACAGGTTAATGGAACGTGGGAAATTTACTGAATGTGATGCTGTTGAAGTTATAAAGACTGTACTCATCGCGGTTAAATATCTTCATGAGAATAATATTGTTCATAGAGGTGAACTATGGTCATTCTCAACCATTTTTGAACGCATTTTATTTTTATTTACATTCTTTGTATATTGTAGATCTGAAACCGGAAAATCTGATTTACAGAAATAAAAATGAAGATTCAGAGCTTGTTCTTGCAGATTTTGGGTATTTCATAATAACCATTTTATTAAGATTATAATAATCTTGAATGAATATTTATTTTTATCTTTATTTGATAGTATCTCAAAAGTTATATCAGATAGTGATGATATAATGTTGACACACTGCGGGACTCAACTTTATGCGGGTATATTCGATTAGATTTATATATAAAAATTTAAGTATTTTATTAAATCACCAGAATTTTTCATTATAGCTCCTGAAATTTTAAATAAAATGCCATATTCAAAATCCGTTGATTTATGGAGTATTGGGTAAAAGAAACAGAATTTTCTATGTTAATTTCGATTTTGTATATAAAATCATATATCTAATTTTATTCTCTTTCTAAACAGTGTAATTACATATTATCTGTAAGAATTTTTTTTTTACTTGTATTCAAACATACATGACCTAATCCTTGCATTAAATCCAATAGACTTTGTGGTTATCATCCGTTTCAATCAAAAGATAGCTTTGCTTTCGTTGATGAAGTATCTAATGCTCGTGTCAAATTCGAAGCTCGATTTTGGAGAAACGTGTCAGAAGATGGTTAGAAATATATATTAAGTTAGTCGATGCATATTAAAACTCTTTATTAATATTTATTTGTTTATTGATTTAGCCAAAGATTTCATCCTTGCACTTCTTAGTTTAGATCCATCAAAACGACCAACAGCGGAAGAAGCTCTAAAAAATAAATGGATTACCGGAAATGTAGCCAAGGATGTAGATTTATTAGAAGATTTCATGGAGAACTTTAACGCACGTAAAACGTTCCGAAAAGCGATTGATGCGGTTCAAGCAGCTAATCGACTTCGAACTACCACACAAAGATTTAGTGGTGATTTTGAAGAAATTAAGTATGAAGAAGAGAATAATAGTAAGACAACGGAAAATAATGAAAAAAAGAGAGAATTATATGCCGTCATTTGATTATAATTTTAATTTATTGTAGTATATATTGTCATTTATTTATTAAAAAAAAATATATTGTTATTTGTTTGTATTTTCATCACATGATATGTCCGATGTGTAATGTCAATGTGTTGTATTAAAGATTTTTAAGATTTACAACCTGATTAGCAGATTATTTGTGATACAAAAAACTAAAAAAAAATTATCGAGATTTTAAATTTCTTCGAACTCTAAATAAATTTTCTGCAGTTTAAAGAGAAATAAAACTTAGATCTTAAAAATGTCTGGAAGGGATAATATGAGCGCTGTTTATGCAACCGACGAATATGGACGTCCTTTTATCATTGTCAGAGAACAACAAAAAAAAAGCAGACTTAGTGGTATTGAAGCTATAAAGGTATTTGTTTCTATAATATAAAATATCAGTTATTTTAAGATAATTGGATTAATAAATACCTTTTTGATAGTCACATATTTTAGCCGCAAAAACGGTTGCTAATATTATCAAGACTTCTTTGGGCCCTAGAGGTACCGTGTTATTCTTCTGAAAAAAAATATATTTTTGATTATTTACATTAATTAGTTGGGATCAATTTTTGCGAATTTGTTTTATAAAAATTTCTTAATTAATATTCAAAATATTTATGTATTTTTCAATTCACAATATATATTTTATATATTTTTATAAATCTACCATCAACTAAAAAAAAGGTCTTGATAAAATCCTTATTTCACCTGATGGAGATATTACGGTTACAAACGACGGTGCAACAATCTTGACTCAAATGGAAGTTGAGCACCAGATTGCGAAATTATTAGTACAATTATCTAAATCTCAAGATGATGAAATTGGTGATGGAACAACTGGTGTTGTTGGTACGTTTGTTAAAGATGTTTATATATTTCTATTAAAATTTAAATATATGATCTGAAAATATTTTTTTTTTAAAAAATAGTTCTTGCCGGTGCTCTTCTTGAACAATCCGAAACCCTCTTGGAAAGAGGTATTCATCCTATTCGTATAGCTGATGGATTTGAGACGGCCTGTAAAGTTGCCGTGAAACATTTGGATACAATTTCTGATGTAGTAGAATTTACTAAAGATAATACCGAGAATTTATTTAATACGGCAATGACATGTTTAGGAAGTAAAATGTAAGTGAGTTTGACGTGTCACATAAAGTTGTGGAGTACAATTATTTAATGTGTTAATAATAATTTTTTTTTTTGTGGGCATCTTAAAAAGAGTTTCGAAAAATCATGAACAATTTGCTAAAATTGCGGTTGACGCAGTTTTATCAGTAGCAGATCTAGAACGTAAAGATGTTGATTTTGAATTGATTAAAGTAGATGGAAAAGTAGGAGGTTCACTGGGAGACACTATTTTAGTCCAAGGAGTAGTAGTTGATAAGGACATGTCACATCTTCAAATGCCACGTGAAATACGCAATGCTAAAATTGCCATATTAACGTGTCCATTTGAACCTCCTAAGCCAAAAACTAAACATAAATTAGATATCACTTCTGTTGAGGAATATAAAAAATTACAAACTTATGAGAGGGAAAAATTTGAAGAAATGATTAAACGTGTTAAAGATTCCGGTGCTAATCTGGTTATTTGTCAATGGGGTTTTGATGATGAAGCCAATCATTTATTAATGCAAAATCAATTACCGGCCGTTCGATGGGTTGGTGGTCCCGAGATTGAGGTACGAATATTACTATTAAACTTAAAAATTTTCAATCATGAAAATCTATTTTTTAAAAAATTTATTATTTATTTAGCTTATAGCTATCGCTACAAATGGTCGTATCGTTCCTCGTTTCGAAGATCTAACGCCCGAAAAACTTGGTAACGCTGGACTTGTTCGTGAAATTTCATTTGGTACTACAAAGGATCGTATGCTTGTTATAGAAGAATGTTCAAATTCTCGCGCTGTTACTGTATTCGTTCGTGGTAGTAACAAAATGGTACACGCTTTTATGATTAAATCTTTTTTATTTAATACAAAGATATTATGTATGATATGTTTTGACAAGTTTAATACTTTTTTAGATAATTGATGAAGCTAAAAGATCTATTCATGATGCTTTGTGTGTAGTGCGTAACCTTGTTCGTGATAATCGCGTTGTATACGGTGGTGGTGCTGCTGAAATTAGTTGTTCACTTGCAGTTTCAAAAGCTGCTGATCAGGTAATTAAAGCATGAATTATGTATTATTATATCTTTAGCTAATTACCTTTATTTTTTTAAAAAAAGATATCGTCCATTGAACAGCATGCTGTTCGCGCATTTGCTAACGCGTTAGATGCTATTCCTTCAGCTCTTGCCGAAAATTCCGGTCTTTCTCCGATAGAAACTTTGGCTGATATTAAATCACGTCAAGTAATTGAAAATAATAGTCAATTAGGAATTGATTGTATGAGTACTGGATCGAATGGTAAATTAAACTTTTTTTTTTTTAAAAAAAAAAAAAATAAAATTAATCATCTTATTTATAAACTAATTTTTATAGATATGAAGGTTCAATATGTTTACGATCCACTTATTTCCAAAAGACAACAATTCTTGTTGGCAACTCAACTTGTAAAGATGATACTTAAAATAGATGATGTAAGTTTAAAATTTTTTCTCTATTTGTTTTTATACTTTTTTTTATCGATATGTTTTTAACTTGATCATCAACCCTTTATAAAATAGGTCATCACTTCAGGACCAGAATAATAAATCTTATCTCTGTTATTTTATTTTTTTGATTATTATATTTCTTTACTTATTGAGTTACAAATTTTATTATTATATAAAGAATTATTGAGTTCCATTTCCAATAACCTTAGTAATTTTCCCGATCGCAATTGTCTTGCCTTCGTCTCGGAGAGTAAATCTCCCTAGTTGTGGGTAATCCTCAAATGTTTCCACACAAATTGGTCCTTGAGTTTCGAGTTGAGCGATCACCTTTTGTCCTTTTTTAACAAACTGTGGTGCTCGTTTTGATCTCTTTCCTGTCTTTTTCTCAAGTACATGTAATAGAGCCTTTAATAAAAAAAAAATATAAATGAATTAATTAATTATATTATAACTCGAACCTTATCAAACGAAACATATTATTAACTTACGGAAATTGATACTTCTTCAACACAAGCATGTATGTGTAAAACACCACTGTATCCTGCACAAATGATATTTTTATGCTCTAAAATAGCTAATTGTGCCTCAAAAGTTGTCGACGTTTTGACTGGATTTTGAGTGTCACATACAACGAAACCAGTCGAACATTCCTATAAATTAATTAAAATCACATTCGTAAATAATTGATTTGTAAAGGTTTCTCAAATAATCAACAAAGTACAACAAACCTCTTCTTCGATGCCCTTGATACGTAATCGAACGTTATCTCCGCAACTGCCAGATGATACTTCATCTTCAAGCTCATTGTAAATTGCAGATACTTCAACAATATGCTATCAAATGAATTGATGGTTATAATATGTGAAATACTTTGAAATATCCAAAAAATTACATACCTTGTTTGGCATAATCATCACATTTTGACCTTTCTTAACTCTACCAGATTCTATTTTTCCAACCACAATAGTACCCATATCCTTTTGAACAGATGTATAAAGTTCAGCTCAACTCATGATCCATGAGACTTAAATGATATTAAAAGAACTTACTTTATACTTTTCTATGATTGGCATCATCAATGGAGCGTTAATTTTTCTATCTAATGTTTGCATTTCATCTAAATATTCCAATAACGATGGACCACTTTTTAACATAATATGAATTTGAATTAGATATAATAAACAATTTGATAAAGTAGCAATAAATCGATCGATGATATACTTACTCGTACCAATCACATTTATCCTTTGGAATACGATCTTTCAAGTTGTAACCCGTAAATCCGGAGACTGGTATAAATTGAATATCTAAATACAATATAATTAAGTAAAGAATATCTTATGAGATGCAAAAAAACCCCCCCTCGATATGGAAATTATTCTTTACATTATTATTACCTGAATTAGGATTATAACCGGTTCCCTTCAAAAATGGTGTTAATTTATTAACACACTCATCATACCTAAATAAACAAAAATTAAATTCAGTTTCTATCAGATGGATCCAAAACAAAAAAAAACTCGTGAAATGATCTACCTTTCCTTTGACCAATGCACCGTTGCATCATCCATTTTATTGATTGCAACCACCAGTTTGTTGACTCCAGAAGTTTTGGCTAAAACAGCATGTTCACGTGTTTGACCGCCTCTTTCAAATCCCGTTTCAAATTCACCTTTCCTAGCGGATATAACCTAAACAATTTCAATTGAATATTTGTATTTTGTATATGAATATTTTTCAATCTATTCTAACTAGTATAAAAAAAAAATATCGTACCAATATTCCGACATCTGCTTGAGAGGCGCCGCCGATCATACTAGGGACATAATTTTTATGACCTGGTGCATCTAAAATAGTGTATCGACGCTTATCTGTTTCAAAATAAGCACGCCCACATTCTACTGTTTTTCCCTGTAAAGATAAAAGTCAATTGGAAATAATAATAAAAGAAATACAAGCAATATATTGAATACAAATCAAATACCTTTGCACGTTCTTCCTTATTTGTATCAAGCGCCCATGATAAATACCATGTCTCTCGACTTTGTTCTTTAGCTTCCTTTTCGTATTTATCCATAGTTCTCTGATCAACCATTCCCGTCAAAAACCTTTTTCATATAAAATGTAAATTAGTATTTACAGAATTGAATTAATGAGTCGCTCTGAATGATACTTACAAGATATTACCACCCATAGTGGATTTACCAGCATCTAATTACAAATTGAAATAATAATCGTGAACTATCAGCTAATAAAACAATACAAAAAAAATCACCGATCACTTCATACTATTTGAGAATATGTATTAAGCAAATCGTTCGTTGTTCCTCCGGATACAACTATTAAAAGAGTCAAAAATGGAATTAAATCATAATACGAACTAACCTACATGTCCAATAAATACTAAGTTGATATGCTCTTTTCCATATAGATCCTCAATAACTTCTTCATCCACAGTTTCTACCTCTTCCGAATTCTCCTTAGGAGTTTCACTTATATTTTCTTCGAGCATAATGATCAATACGATTTAGTTTTTTTTTTAAAAGGATTAAAAGTCTTTTCGATGACTGTGATGAAATGCTGATCCGTAAACTCAATTTATTTTAGTTTTTGTAATACATGGCGCAGCATGCTGATCCGTACACGCCACAGAAAATTTTCTCCAAGATGGAATGCTTGAGAGAGGAATATGCTCTTTGCGATGATTGTGCCGAAAATTATGAATGTTTGAAATTATTTTGTGGTCATTCCAGGAATAGTAAGCAGTATTATATATTAATTGATTGATAGTGGAGGTCTGCAAGATTATCATCTGATACAAAAATAAAGATTATTTTCAATGAAATAGTGCAACGATAATCTTGAAAAATTATCAAAATACAATTTTGTTGAAATAAACGATTGATTCATTTTGTAATATAAAATATAAGACGATCACAAATATAAAATTATGTCGATTTGGGTGATCGGCTAAACACATAAAAGCTAATTCAACATCTACCCTACATCTACCCCACATTTAACATTTTTCTATTTACAGTTAAATTTCTCACGAAATTTAAATTCAAAATAAATTATAAAATTCAAAATGGGACAATCAACGTCTTCTCGAGATTTCGCAACACTACAACACCATTTAATTCATGATAACCATGCAAACCGAAAGGCAATGCTTGATTTTATTGCTGATGATCCCATTTACATTCCGCGTTACAACATGCCACTTGAGTTTGAACGAGAAATTACATTGCAACGCTTAAAAAAACTTGGCGATAAAGGTTTCATCTCCGTATTTGACTTTGAAAAAAATCCGCTTAACATTTTTGCTGGTATTTATTTTCTCCTCAAAATGTAATTTAAGCAATTGTTGTCTAATTTTTTAACAATAATTGCTTTAAATTAGCGCATGAGGTAGCTGGTATGGTAGATGGTTCCATGGGCACAAAGGTATTTACAATTAATTTAATAAATTACATTTTCATAATGGAATAAAAACCATTTATAATATAGATGACAGTTCAATGGAACCTTTTTGGTGGAACTGTTATTAAACTTGGAACTGAACGCCATAGGCATATTCTTTCTGGCGTGGACAATCTTCACAATGTTGGATGCTTCGCTTTAACCGAATTAGGCTATGGGAACAATGCGGTGGAAATGGAAACTACCGCTATATATGATGATGACAACAGAGAGTTTATCATCAATACTCCGACAACGCTAGCTCAAAAATATTGGATCACAAATGTAGGTTTACGAAAATTATATCAATAATTAACTGTTTATATTAATAATATCACTGCTAATTAATTATTTCTTGAGCTAGTCTGCTATTCATGCAAAATGGGCTGTTGTTTTTGCTCAAACTATAATCCGTGGCCAAAATGAAGGAATACACGTTTTTCTTGTCAGAATTCGTGAAGAAAAGTAATTAAAATTTTCAAAGCTCTTATTAGTTATTTCTATATTTCCGATTGATCTTATTATTTATTTATAGTATGAAACCTTCAGAAGGCGTCATCATTGAAGATATGGGAGTAAAATTTGAATGTAATGGTGTAGATAATGGTATGTGATGTAATTTTTATTTTTATTTTTTATTTATTTTTAAATATACTAAGTGTATTTCTTTCTTGCGAATTTAGGTAAATTGTGGTTCAAAAACGTAAGTTGTCTTACGATGCATTATAATTTTTCGGAAGTTACTGCAATTCAATGTTACTTCATTATAAATATAGGTACGAGTTCCGGTACAAAATATTTTAAACAGATTTTCTGACATTGATGAAAATAATAAATTTTCAAGTGATGTCAATAATCGTCGCGCGTACGTAATATATAATTATCTTTCCACGTATATAATATGTATAATTTAAAATTCCGTGCATTGTCCGCGTGATTTAAGTATTGTTGCCAATTAATTTGTTATTTAGACGATTTTTGAAAGTTGCGGATCAACTTCTTTCCGGTAGATTGGCTATTGCATCGTTGAATTTGGGTGGAACTAAAAGTTTGTAAAATTTTAGTACTATTTACTTTGCATTATATTGAACATCTGTTTTACAATTTGCATTGAATATAGCTTGCTTATCTATTGCATTCCGATATGCAAGTTCTCGATTAGCTGTTGGACCAAATGGAAAGAGGTATGTGAGATTATCTCAATATTATCATTAAATTTTCAAATTAAATTTATTTATTTCAATAATAGTGATACACCAATCCTTGCCTATCAACTTCAACAACGCGCATTGCTACCTTTATTAGCAACAACTATCGCATTAAATATTGGCTTGAATTATTGTAAAGTCAGATGGACTGAACAGGTATTTATGATATCAAGGTTAATTTAAGTACTTTTCTAAAATTTTCTAAAATTTTAATTTTGATCAGACGGAAAAAGATGTTTCTGAAATAGTTAGGTTGTGTTGTGTTATAAAACCTTTGGTAACTTGGAACTTTGAACGCGTTGCATCTGTTTGTCGGGAACGTTGTGGTGGACAAGGATATTTGAGCATCAATAGGTTTGGAAGCTTCATTGGATTTTCACACGCAGGATGCTCAGCTGGTTTGACTTTTTTATTCTTTTTTTTTTTTTGACTAATAAAGGAAATTTCTCTTACACAAAAATATTTAATTTACATCAGAGGGTGATAACAGTGTTCTTATGCAAAAAGGTATTTATACCGTTATGCATATCTAAAGATTCGGATAATTAACGATGATTTTTCTTTATTAGTTTCCAAAGAATTGCTCGCGGATATACAATCTGGTTCTGTAAAGTTACCTATTGTACCAGATGCAAGTAATGCTCTGTCATGGGAGATTTCTAATTTACATAGCCAACTAAGTTTATTTAGACTTAGAGAACAATTTTTGGTTAATGAAGTAATTATTAATATAAAATAATATGTGGAGTTGTTTTTACTGAATTTTTGTCTAATATAAATACTCATTTGTAGTTGGGAGCGAATATGAGCAAAAAAACTTCTTTGGGTATTTCAATCTTTGAAGCTTGGATGAAGCAAGAATCTGATACCATTCAAGCCTTGGCTAAGGCACATGGTGAAAGAATTGTTCTTGAACAAGTAATCGATTCTATTCAAAAATTATCAGGCAATCCATCGTAAGTATAATCAATCGATGGAACATGTTGTAAACACTTTATAAACAAATTCTTTTACTAAATTATTTTTTTATTTGATTAGAAAAATACTTACTACCATTGCCCATCTATATGCTCTTACTCAAATTGATGCAAACCTTGCGTGGTATATGACCAATAATTTAATTTCAATACCGGCTGCTGCAACTGTACAACCACTAATTCGAGAGATCATTAAGGAAGTAGCTCCCTATAGCATGCAACTTGTTGATGCTTTAGGAGTTGATACACGTATACTTTATGCTCCCATTGCGAACGATTGGGCAAAGTTTAATGAAACTGACAATCAAGGTAATGTCTAATAGATTGATTGATATTTGTATCATTATTATGTTTTTTTCAAGGTATTAATTTTCTTTTAAATTATCTTAGGTGAATTAGTAAAGGATATCTCGGTGGGAATGAAGGCCAAATTATAAACATACAATAACTAGAAATATAGACTATTATTTAATCTATTAGTATTAGTATAAGATTGTTTATTAATAAAGATCTTTAATTAAATCTATGAAGTCTTTAAATTATTCATTGTTATTAGATAATTACATATGATAAAATTTTAATTTAAAAACCATTACTATTAATAAGTATAACTGTCGTTGAGTATTATGTTCCAGTACATGATACTGATGATTCTCCTCTCATTATATTAAAAAATAGGATATGTCAATTATAATCTGTTTTTTGCACCCAAATTCTATATTATTTCTCTTTTGGCATTTCAGATGTGTAGCTTAATAAAAAGACTGGCAAATGTATTTCGGCTCCGATGTTGTATCTCGACATTCCCTTTCACCAGAAGTGTAAGATCGTGTTTATATTAATTTCATGTTTTCGATTATTATTTCTCATCTCTATTATATACAAAATATGCATTAATGATTGAAAAAAAAGTATATTTCAGATAAATTGAATCCTCCTTCTTGAAATATGAAACTTCAAACGTTATAATTGTTAATGAAAGTTTGCGTCAGAGCAAACTTGTGCACATCCACCTACAAATATTAGACCGCCTATCGTTTCTTCACCCTCTTCATAAAAAATACCGTAGAGCGCTAACTAAACACTCTCGGGGTTTTTACAAATTTAACATAACTAAATGCAATATACTCCTGATGAGATAATATTTGTTAAAAATGGTGGCTTAATCAGATGTTACTGAAGAATAATCATAGGAATCATGGCATCATCATTGCCATCGGATTACATGGAGTTACTTAAAAATCATAAAAAAACGAATAATTGTCATCAACTACACGACCAATTTTGGGGTAACAATATCATTAAGAGCAAGTTGACTGCGGCACACACGTAAAGTCAGGTTGGTACCGATAAGCATACAGGTTTGTAGGTTCTGCTTTAGTCGCTAGAGAAAATATGTATAGTTATTTGATAAATTTCAATAATGGAGAGACATTC